GCCAGGCTTGGGTAGTTCGTGCCTTGGCGCAATCCTGCTGGAAAGATCACGGTATATTTTTAAAAAGTGTATTGCTGAGAGGTTTCACAATATGATCGAAGACTGTATCTTGATATATTTTGGCTGCAGTTTTCACTCCTCTCACTAAAATGTAGTTTTGTGACTCCTTGATAAGACACCCCACCATTACTGACGCAGGATGATGACCACATTGTATCTACCTGACCACTTGAGCAGCTTCTTTAAAAGTGTGAGCGTACACTTTATCATTTTGCTTAATGTAGGTAGTGTTCTTCAATCGTGAAAATTTTTTCATCGGTAATGAGGATATTTCTGTGCTTTTACCTGCGTATCGCGACAGAAGGCGTTTTGATCGATCCACTCTCTTTAATTGTAAAGATTGATTTAGAGCATGTTCTGTATAACGAAGATAAGCACCGAGCTTTAGGTCTTGTTTTATAATACGCCACAGAGACCTCCAGGAATCTTCATTTCTCTCGATAAGATTTTTTTTTTCCTAATGGGGTTTCGATAAATTCTGGTTTTAACAGCAGTAACCGCCTTTGTAGTTCTAACAGCACGTGGCCACCCCGATCTTTTCTGGTCTTCGACAGACGAAGTGTTCTTGTATCTGTTGATAGTACGATATTATATCGTCAGAAATATCCTATATCGTAGATATACGAACATACGGCTGATAACAAGCTTTGGAAGCTTTCCTAGTTTCTTTAACACCCTATTCCATATTCTAATTTGATAGTGAACACGAAAAAATATGTGAAATCGCGCAAAATAGAAAGATGTTTTTTAATTAAAGTAAAATACGTGTTCCAAATTCAAAATAATTAAAAAGTTGAAAAAAAGAAAAGTTTTTATGTAACAGTAATTATGGCCAGACTAGTTATACATAATCGATACCATTAAACCCTTGACAATAATCTAAGACATTATAATTAAAGTTTGCACATCAGATTGCCTAAGAGATTTAACTCTTCAATCATACCCAAATACAATGGATTATTATAGAAACAAAAGTCAATAAACCGATGAAACATAGTATTTTAAAACTATATAAACTTATTATTAATTTTGTGCTATAATCAAATATACATAACATAAAAATAAGGTTTATAAAAAGTTTGAAAACGTATATAGGAAATTCGTATTAATCTAAAATGCTCAATAGAATCGCGCTACGAAATTACAAGAACATTTGTAATTTGCATACGTCGTCAGACGCATATAGCAACAAAATGTCGATAGCAATAAAGTATTTATAATAAATGGGGATATAAAATTGAAAATTACAATAGATTTACAACCACGGATTGTGTTTGCGAAGTAAAGAACCGTAGCCAACCGTCTGCAGATAAGGCTTTACAGCCCACCTATAAGTTTTGATTGGCAAATGTTTATTGCGAAACTGTTTCTCAAATCTTTATAGTTCTGATAAGCTAACAATTTTACGCCTTGGACATTTGAATTTATACGAATATTGCAATCGAAACATAATCGTTTTTGTGCCTTTTTATGTTACCAATTACATAAGTCCAAACTGATTATAGGCAGCTAAGGGTAAGATTCAGTAGTCTTACGCACGTCAAAACCTAATACCTTTTTGACATTCAAAGTGTCTGTCTCACGTACTCTTGAGGGTTTGAGGGCAAACAAAACATACTAATAATTATATAAACCTTGACTTCATCTGTCAAACCGATACTGATTTCTATAAAACGATAAGGATTTATGGACTTGAAGTGTCAATTTCTTAATAATGTTGAATAGTCATCTCTCTCTCTCTAGTTGGCGCAAATTTTAAATTATATTCATTAGACTGAAGGCAAACGTGCAGGCGTGTTAATTAGAGTTAAGTGCCTACTGTTGCACAAGGACACCTGCAACACCAGAAGGCACTTGCAGTGCGTTGCCGGCCGTTAGGGTAATGGTAAAAATAATGGATTTATTGGCACAAAAGTGTTTGAGGGAATGGTATTGAATGTATAATATATTCGGGTAAATAAAGAAAAACGATGAAAATTTTAATTTTAATAATCAATAAATTCTACTATGATATAATATTTCCTAATATAACAATTTCATAGAGTAGCTCTGGGTACGCAGATTTGCACACAATAAAAAACAATTAAGTTGAATAAAACATATAAAACGGTATTTAAAGTAACTTAAAAAACCTTAATCCTTAATTAAAACTTATCAATTCCTGTGTATCCTATTTTTAAGTGTTAGTTTAATCACTGTTTTAACTAAAGTATATGTCTAAATTACGATCGTAATGTTAGCGGGGCGGGCTCTCGAGTACTGAGATCCGCGTACCCATTTTTATTGATTTTGTGGATATGTTTGATTCAAATTTGTCTGAGAAATTTATATTATTTTATATGATCTCCCACAGCACCAGCCTTTTGGTTGGCACAACTTGGTAAAGCGTTTAAAATAATTTTGCTAATGTTAGCAAAATATATACTTACGATTAATTTGTAGAAACAACAATTCCATGCGCTACGCATGCGCATTCCTCTCTTCGATAATGGGCAGCTAGACTTTCAAATGTATAGTCCGTAAGGTTTCTATTTAGATTATTATCCTCTTATTAGATTAGACTTCAAGGGATCAGTACTTTAGTTAAATCAGTGTTATAAGCCTAATTTAATTTTTAGTTAATATTAACAAATGTAACTATTTACTTCTAATGTTGAACCGGAAAATTACGGCTCACATTCCTACCTTGAGAAGTTTTAAAGTTCTTGAAATACTTTTTGTTTTACTTTCTGGTATACGAACTTCTACAACCATTTAACTAAATATTACGATTTACTTTTATTATAATACATTTTTAGATTAGGTCACAATAGTACTGTTCACAAAACTAGCATTCATTTATTTTGTTAAAAACATATAATATACATCAATCATGTTTATGAAAAAGACCAAATATTCACATAATGCGACCATTTGCATTTTTTGATATGAAAAACTATTCACTAAATTATCCTACAATTAGTTATTACTTAGGCCTACGAAGATTGGCTTATTTATTTCATTTATTTTGTCATAGAGTAGAATTTGGGTAGAGTAGTTAAACACATACCTAGACCTAATCTTGCCTCGAATAGAGAACACATTTTGACAGTTTGTACTCCAAGAATACTAAGAAATTTTGTATGTAAACCATATACTCAAAATCGAACATACGAATATATACCATACCATGGTCGTGGAAAAATATCGGAAACTTTGTTTTAAATATTAATAATTTTGGATATTTTCTTCCTTAATTGGTTTTGAAGAAATCTTTGGTGTCAAATCGAAGAATGAACAAATATTGATGTAATTTTATACACACGCCTGTTCGGGGCATACCTAACGGCGAACTTCTACGTGCCTTTATCTTCTATCTTCTCTTCAATGTCTTAAATGGGCTAATTCTGTACAGTCTATTGATTATTTATATCGCTCTAAATATCTATAGTCATTTTTGAACATTTTTTTGTGGACGAATATCCCAATTAGAATCTAATGTCTATTTGATACGATAATTTTATTTGGATTTATTATTCTATAATCTAATTAATATACATCTCTGATTTATTTTGAAAAAATATTGACATACAATCCATATCGGCCGCACTACAACCTCAATTTGAGTTACATCTCTTACGTTTCGGCGCACAGTAAAAGTAGAAAAAGGTTTAGGTTCGTTTTCCGTCGAAACAATTATTGTTTCGAAACACGAACAGGAACTCCTTAAACTATCCCAGACCAGTGAACCCCAGCAGATTCCAGGCCACATTTCATCTAAGACCACAATTAAAATTACCTAGAATATTTTTTTTCTACGTTTACTTTGCCCGTTATCACACGTAACATACAATTGACCGAATCATTAATAGGAAATCCTTATGGCTATTTTTACATATATATATATATATATATACAATAAAGGAACCGCTTCTTCTTTAAATTATAAAATTAATATAAGTAAGATACTTTATTTATTTGTTTTACTAATCATTACTTTAAAGACACCATAGACAATGTATCGTCTGATTGCCCGGATCTAATCAAAGTACTCTTACGTCTCTTTCTGTTAATTTGTGTTTACAGTGTGATGAAAAGAGACGGATGATTACTTGAGTTAATCGGTTAAATTTTAGTGCCGAAATAATTTTTGTCTTATGAAAATAGATTAAATTTTGTTTAGAAGGGCGAAATACTGTCATACGAGGATAGGCCTTTAAAAGTAGTGAAAACTTCAATTAAACTCACGTCTTATAAATGAATACGATAAAATTACTAAAAAATGACCTAAAACAACAAAATATTCGATAAAAAAATACTTTACAAGTTGACACATGCGTACGATAATTAAGTTTCTTATTGGCTACATATTCTAAACGCTTAATTGATCGAAAATATACTCTATTTTAAGGTATAACGGTTCACGTTGCGATGAGACGGCTGAGCTGGGTCATAAATATTACTTTATCTAAACGATAACGGTTTTCAATTCCACATTTTTAAGTTACACGTTGGGCGTGAAAAATCACTGCAATTTCAAAAAAACCTCAGCAGTCAAGTCATTCATTATTTAATTAAGAAAATTATATCGATTTAAACATTCTTAAAAGAATATTTACTTTTAAAAGTCTAAAAGTTTAATTCACGTATATTGTGGGTAATGATTTTATTAAATCTAATATTAACTTGTATTGATTTCCTTTGTTGAGAATAATTCTGACACAAATACACAACTTCTGTTTCTCACTTGCTCCTTCGGCTTTTGTATATTAATTTTTGTAATTCATAAAACATATTATTCCCACATTACATTGTCAGAATTAATGTCACGCAAATGACAAAATTAGCTACAATTTTAAAAAAATCTCAAAAGATAGGATTCTACTCTTCGCATAGGACGAAATGGTGATCCGCTCTCCGCTCCGCTGTCCGCTCTAGCGCGGCGGCGCGGGCAGCTCGCATCACCGCGACGGGCAGGAGCTACCCGACTTGTTGCTCAAGCAGGAGAATCCGCTCGTGGCCGATTGGAGGCTCGACATAGAACCTCTGGAATATATCTTTATGTCAACGTGTTATCTAATTGCAGGTGCCCGAGGTGTCGGCTGCTATTATATTCTGCTCGGAACTATTCGGCAGACTAATAATTACATTTTTGTTTATTAATAAAGGAGTAGCTACACGGATGTGAATGGCCCCGGCAATGGACTATGTTCTTATAGTAATTTTTTTTAAAGTAGACTTGTGTTTTTATTATATTATCTATATTCTGATTTTTAATTCCGTAGAATTCTGACAGCTATAATTTTTTGACATGTCAGTGATGGCAAACCTTTTCAATCTCAATACGAGTCTAAACATACATTTGAATACATACATTTTATTAAGTGCGGTGCTCCACATTAAAAGTGGTTTAACAGCGAGTGGTAATTACGTTCCTTTTCATCACAAACAGTAAAAAAACACACAAGTAAAGATAACATTGTATTTTTTTTAAAAGGTTTACTAAACCTGAAATTAGTAAGCAGTGATGCCAGCTAAAGAATAAAATAAAGTAATTAAATCTTTTTTCGGTGGAGAACTTCTTTAGTAGCAACACTTATGACATGTCAGAATTCTACGGAATTAAAAATAAGACATAGGTAATAACACGGAGCCTCAAATATGGGACAGCCGTAAAACGAAACTATCTTAAGAAATATGCTAATGAAGGTTTTCCATAACTTGGTAATTTGATATATTAATATTAAAAAAAAGAGAATAAATCATTATTTTTAATTACAATGTTTCCGGTTAATAATAGGTAACTAAAATTTTATTAGTACAAAGTAAGGGCACTCACTTGTAGTGATGGCTGGCAAGGATCTCGTGGAAGTACATGAGCTGGGCTGCACGAGAGGAGTCGAGCAGCTCACAGCGCCACTGCAGCAGATAACTGCCGCTTTCAGACATCACGTGGGAGCCCTGATGCCGGCAAATGTTAATGAGGTAAGTGCTTAGAGCCCAAATAGCATTAATATCTTACTGATATAGATTACCTTTAATAAGCTAATGACAGTACGAAAAATAAATTATATTAATTATTAAAAATATTGATCTTTATATGTCAGTCACGTGACACAAACGGTAACGTCCCAGTTAATAATATGTCTCCGCCTGTCTAATCTTATTAGTTTCTAGTAATTTAATTTCAACAGAAATACTGTTTTTCATCGAAATATAATATATATGTGTAAGAATGATAATTAACATGTAAATCTTAACGATTGTTTACAGGCATGTCTTAGGGACTTGGGCGACGCCATCTTGCCTAGGAAAGCATCTTGCTTTCTTGAAATTATGAATTTTACAGCCGTATGGCTATTAACAGAAAATATAAAATAACAACTTGTAAGTTCTGTAACTAATCAATAATCTGAAATGGTTTTTAAAGTCTGTTCAAAAAGCACATTGTTCCCATGAAAGTGTAGATTAATTAATCAAAGAAATAATGTCAAAAATATTAGAAACAATAAAGTTCAACTGCAAATTGCTACAGCAGAATAACTTTCAGAATTTTTCACTCTTAATTTCAAGAAAATCTCTTTTGGAATAGTGCTTAAATTTTTGATTGTACCTGTATGCTTTCCCCGTCGTGGCAAATAAGGGCAGGTTCCACGCGATGGTAATGTTCTCCCTCTCGCCACCCTCGCGCCTCCAACAAAGATTTACCCTCCTCTATGGCCGCCCCTCCCACGCAAACTGCTGCAATATTTATATTTTAATACACCCCAACAAAACGGAAATGCAGATTAAAGTCTCTATCGTATCTGTGTTCCCCATGTTTCCCAGATGACACTTTTTGAAGTGAAACTTTTTTAGGCGCATGAGGGTAATATTAGCGTCACGAAGAAGATGTTTTTGTCGAAGAAAAGGGAGAGAGCGATCAAGAGAGAGTAAGAAGGGTGAATTACCTTATAGAAATTTTCTTTTTAAAAATAAAAATTCGTAAAGAGAATTTATGAAATATTAGTAGGTCTTTTATATTTATGCAAAGTAATTTATTGAAATCTCAAATGACAAATTGTAAAAAATTAAATTTATAATTTGTATTAATTTTCGACACTTTTAATATTTTAATGACAGTTAAATTCATTAAATTCCTAACATGTCTTCCTTTTTCCTCCCTCTAAGTCTCTCTTGCCAAAGAAGTTTCACTTCTAACATGTGTACTTTGTACGCACGCACTTTTTTCTGAATTCCAAAACATTTCGGAATCGAACCTTCTATAAATAAAAGTAAAAGACTCTTTGCTTATGTTTTGGCAAAGTCACGACAGGTTCACTCAGGTAATCTAATATTCGATTTCAACATAATTATCAAATTAAATGTAGCAAAAATCATATTTACCAGCAGCGTGATCGGTCTGGTCGGGCTGCTCCAGCTCGCAGTCAGTCCGAAATACGGTGAAAGAGATATCGTGACGGAGCACGTCAAAGTCCCACGTCAGTACACTCTGAGGGTCACGATTCACCACTATCATTTCGTGAACCTGCCAAAGAGACGTTCACTATTATTTTCCGTCTTACAAAATATATTTTGGGACCTAGCTCTTCAACAAAATAGACATACACGAGGTCTTCATTAGAGTCGTACTAAAAAACACTATCAACAAAATAGAAGCGGGAAACACTTTAAAGTAATCATTTCACCATTTCCTAACAAAAAGCGAAAAATAGGAAGGGCTACAATATAATATATTTTTGACGGGTATTTATTTAAGACAGTTATTTTATTCGTTTTAATTTTGGTCTACAATTTTACCTGTCCTTTGGCCAGGCTGACGGATCTATATATACTATCTTCGGAGAGAGGATCCCCGTCTCTTTCTGTGAAGGCGCCGCTCGCGTACAAACTCTTCGGTACCAGCCCGCCCTCGTGGACAAAACTCTATAACACCAAAATATTTTTGACAACTAAAATATTAGTCGGATGTATTTAAAGTATCTTTTTAGTAATACAAGTTTTATTGTGATTACACATAAATCATATACGTAAATAGCGATATTGCTTTATGCCTTGAAAGATTGTATAGTATCTACGTTAATATTGTGCGATAATTTTGGCTTTAGTGTTAACAGTTAGAAGCAGCTAAGTGCCTTTTAGGCTTTTGTGCTGAAACTTATACTGAGCACTACAATTACTCAAATTACATTAACGATAGTCATATAACATTGCGCCGCACATTGGGATAACAACATTAATTAAACATATTTTTTATTTTATTAAAATATATGAATGTTATGATAATAAAGAAAAATGTTTCAGTACGTGATATCAATTACTTGGATAAAAATGCTGGAAAATCGTCGAGAAAAGGTAATATAGGAAATGGAATAGGTCTTTATTACAAAACATATTAAACCAATTTCCATCCCACTCTATGGTTAAATCCCAATGTACTGAATTTAACGAATACTGACAATTGACAATACATGACGTCACGTTTACGTATAGTGTTGTAGTTCTCACGTGTCGTACGTATTTGTAAAAACGATGAGGCACGAACAATGATGTCTCTACTATGTCCGACTGTTATAAAAAAGGCATCATTTATATCATTAGTAAGTACCACATAAAAATAATATGTAAATAAATATTTTTGTTTCTCCATGTTGCGAAAGAAGGAATAGTTGTGGTTCAAGTAATTTACCTTGCAGGGCCCGCCGAGGAAGTCTGGGATGTATTCTTTGGGTATATAGTCGAGTAACCCTCCAGCTTGTAAATAATCCTTGCCACCGTAGAACAAGAACTTACTGCGGGTGTTTTCATCTAAAAATTTAAAATTTAATTTTTGAGACTTTAAGGATATGCAATTATTAGACCATCTAAGCCAACTCAATGGCCTTTAAAAACATCTGAATTATAGGTGATATAAAATTTGTAACTAGATTAAAATCTAGATTTACCAGTTGTAAAACCACTTTCACTACACGGATTTTGACATAATTGAGTGCTCAAGGCTAAATAGTGCATAAACCTATGTTTTAGTTTTTATTTAAAATACTTACCGATAAACGTGCTCACAATAGTCCACAATATCGGGAAGACTCTAGGAGCTCTGACGATGAGAACTCTGCCCATGGTCTCGGGGTAGTTGGCTTCCACTATCTGGATAATTCGTAGCAGAGCCCTGACGCCTGGTCTCCATAGATGCCTCATATTCAAACCATCAAGGTCTACCAAGAGGCACCAGGAATGGACAGCGTGCTCTGACGATCGAGTTGCTTCTTCTAGTAATTTCAAGCCTTCTTCACATACGTGAAGAGTCTGAAAAGTCGAAGACATTCCATGGACTAAACTCAAAAGACTAGAATTAATATAACTTTTACAGAATTAAATGCACTTAATACTATCCTAAAACAAACAAAATACCAATTTTATGAAACGATAATATGCATCCAAAATGATAAATTTTAATAATAGATTAGATGATGATCTAGTGACACGTTTATCTAAACAATAAAAAGGTCAACATACCAACTTAAGAAGACCATCCTCTCCAATTGACTTCAGCAGTCCCTTAACATCCATCTGCCCCAGACGAAGCACGTATAGGGGTCGGCCGTCTGTATCATTTCATTCATACCATTCAGACTTTTATCAAATAATATATTATTAATGTTATTATGAGACTTTAAAGGTCACCGGATAGAATGATAAGCGTGAACAGAGAATTATTATACAGCATGTTTGCCGCATGTGAAAGGGTGTGATGAGATTCTAAATTTCTATATTTCACATATTCAATAGTAGCAATTAAAGTTAATGTACCTATCGATTAATTTTTTTTTATGTATCGGAAAGATTAGCAGGCCAAAGTCAAAAATATTTGATGGTGCTGTGGGCAATACGAAAATCCAGCCTCTTATTTATGCACTTCTTTTTTAGAACAGGAGAACAACGGGCTGGAGGCTCATCTGATGTTAAGTTATACCGCCATTCATGGACTCTCTCAATGCCAGAGGGCTAACGAGTGCGTAGCCGGCCTTTTAAGAATTGGTACGGCCTTTTCTTGGATGACCCTAAGTCGATTTGGTTCGGAAATACTTCTTATTTTTATTTTTAGCCTGTATGGGTATGACATGTATGAAACAAACCTTTATCGTGGTGATGCCAGCCCCCAGGGAAATACTGTTTGACGACATCAGGAGTCTCGTACTCCGACAGGATCTTGTCCACTTGGTGTTTCTTCCGCCATAGGAGAGACTGGGAGAGCATCTCTCTCGCCTTTTCCACGTTGAAATCTCTCGCGCGGAGGAAACGAAGAAGTGTCGTATCGCTGGGAACCTGAAATCAAACCAGCACAGTATTAAAAGTCAGAATTTTTTTTTGGGTCTCTTGCTTTATTTTTTTCCAAAAATTTGAATTGATTTTAATAAATAAATAAATTTATGAAAATCTGTTTTATTTAAATACAAATTTAATTGACAGTTGACTAATTTTGGGATGAGCCCGTGTCCGATTATCCTGACACCCCTTTTTTAATTCATGATAATCGACTAGGCTCATTACACAAACAGGCACACGACAATTATTACGATAATAACGGAATTGACAAACCTTTAAGATCATATTACCTTGCCCTTCTGCAGATCAGCTATCCACTTTCTTAGCTGCAGAAGCCTGGATTCCTGGATCGGAGTCAGCTCACCCAGATATCGCTTTATATACTCACTGTCCAGCGAGTATTGGTCTGTAATCATACATTATTACGTGTAAGTATTCATGAATGACCAATCTAAGAAAGTTATTTATTTATCAAAATAAGCTACCATTACAGATTACTCCAATGCAGTAACTATTAAAAAAAACTCAACATTAAACTGTAACAGATTAAAATATTAACAAAAAAGACTAACTATTTTTAAAGTATAGGATCTGACATGAAACAGACCTTTCGTCAGTTCACTAAACGGACAATTAAGTCTGTTAATCTATGCAGTCCATTAATTATTTTCATACATTGTGTCATGTGTACTCTTTTTGTGAAGTTAGTTTTAGAGGCACGAATAGTAACCCGGCCTAGGTACTGGAGCACTGTACCATTAAAATAATCTACAAAAGTAGTACCTTACTAATATAATACAATAACTAACTAGTATTTCTATTTACGATTCTTACACATTGAAAATACCTACCGAATCGTTTAAGAACAATTTTAAAATAATCAAATTTTCCTTTACGGTAAAATTTATCTCTTGATGCAGTTAATTTTTTAATTACACTTTTTTATTATAGTATATTTTTCACACATGGATAATGTATTAATTATTGTCATCAATTATATGGCAACGTGTAAATGGAAATTGCAAAATACCGCTGGATAAACGAGTTAAAACTATGTCATGTTAGAAAATCACGCATTAAAACACGCCTAAATGGCGTTTATCCACAATTATTAATCTTTAGAAATGTCGATATAGTATAAGTAGTACTAAGAGAGATACATTTTATCTTGCTACTGAAAATAGGAAGCATTTTTAAAGAAAAGAACTACGATCAATTAATGCTTACAACATAATAATTACAACTAGTATAATTATTATGAATTTCAAACTTTAAAACCGAGCAATGGAGTAGATATATTACTACGTAAAAAACTTTTTCATCATGTAAGACAGTGTGGCAGAATATGCGAAGTTTAGATTGTATCACCATAATATTTTTGCACCATATTCTTGCAAATAAATTATTATTATTATAAGGTTGGTTATACCTGCACAGCGTACAGCCGGTGTACCGTCAGTGCCCCATTTTGAGACCCTCAAGAAAAGAGGCACACACGTCCCCATATAAATATGTATAATTGTAGTCTATGTATTGGTCGTGTAGTGGTTCGATGTACGAACACTGTATAGTGTTCCTTCACCGTTCAAGCGAATGTTGAATGCGCACATAGATAGAAAATCAGACATGAGAGTCGCAAGCTGAAGCCACTAGGCCAACATTGCTCTCCTATATTTAGCAATAATTTTTGTTACTATTCCTGTTGCGTTATTTTAGTAATTACTATTTCTGTATTTTCTATGTACGATATGATTTTGCAGTTTACACAATATACGAGTAAATACCGGAAAATACAAAAGTCGAAAACTAAGATAATAGCTTTACAAACTTTTTCAATTTAATCCATTACAATCTGCATTCCGCCCATAACGTTCTCGTTCTCGTTGAACTTGGAAACTAATTTCAAGTTCGCTGTATTTGCAAAAGGGTTGCCAGATGCATCCTCCAGGGTTGTTGCTTAATACTTCTTTTAACATTAAAGAGTCAACATAATGTTAAAATTACTATAAAATAAAGTTTTTTTTGTTAATATCAAATGATTATATATATAAAATCTATCTATATCACTTGTGTTACCAAATACAAGAAGAAATACAATATCAGGTATTTGGTTAATGCAATATCAATAGAAACAAGGCTTTATAACCTAAGTTTCTATAATATTTCATAGAATAAAATATTTTCCAGGACGTAAACATACAGCCATAAGGTGGTTTATTTAAGAATCTATAATTACTTTAAGCTAGAGATGGGCAGACGATATAAAGAGAATAGGAGACACAACTTGGACAAGGGCTAACATTAGAAAACAATGGAAGCAGCTGGAAGAGGCCTATGTGTCACAGGTCACGCCGATCACCAAAACCGGGACATCCGATGTATTAGATTAAGTTAGGTTATGTAACTAAACAAATGTTTATATGTATTACACTGGGTGTCAATTATAAAGGCTTAATAATAATAATTTAAGTTTTCAATAGGTTGTTGTAACTTATAGATAACAGATTGTTGACAACCCTAAAACTCATTTGGTGCTGTGTCAAGGCCAATGCGACACTTTAGCCACGGAAATCCTTTAAGTACGGCACTAAAATTGTCTGAAAATTTTCCAATAAGATCTCTTAAGAAAATGTTATATGTGTAAAAGAGAATAATCGTCATGTCTCAGACCGAATAGAATTTAAAGATTTATCCTTCTGTGCTTAAAACAGGCATACTTTTGTATTAGATATTTTCCTCTTTCGAGAATGTGTATAAAGAAAAAAAAATTAATGGATAGACATTGTTTGAAAGAAAACCAGGACCTGCTTTATCACCTGTTCAAAATGTTACTACTATTACTGGTAACTTTTTTCATCGTTTTTAGCAAACAATCAGCACATAATATACTGACAACAAAACCTGTGGGCGTACACCACCTACGCACATCTTTCCCTTTATTGTGAGATATTTTAGAAGTGGTTGTCGTTTAATATACATGATATAAAGGCCATGACAAAGGAACCATTGTGCTAGTACGAACGCCCCATATTTTATCAATATTACCACTTAACTAAAAATGTAAAAACAAAAATACAAAAAAGAAAATAAACCATATATTACACTTATCTATTCTTGTCTGCTCTGTCGCGGAAATAGGAATGAAAGAGGGGACGACATAATATACGCTATAATCATTGCAAACAACAACACTAGAACTAGACTGTCCCATCTAGACATGACATCTATGACGTTCGATGACGCACAGCCACAGGGCGGCAACTGGCACACGTCTTGTGCGTTTTCCTCGCTCAAGTTAGGCGTAGACAACGCTATCCTGCTAATTTTCTCTTCGCAGGCGTTCAGGCAACTTTCTTTTGTTTTGTCAGTAAAGTTAGAGGTAGACGTGGTTTTATCCAAACCCTTGTGTTTACTTTTACGTTTCAATAGCAATTTAAGGCCATGACTCGATTTCTTCTCGGCGGAGTTCATATCTTTTGGAACAGATTTGCTACGGGCCCTTAAAAGTCTATGTGATGATCTTGCTAGTCCCAAGTTACTCCGCAACCCGGAAGGACCTGGGAAGGAAAGGGAGGATTGAGGGATGGAGGTCATTTGGAATGGTTAAAGGTTAAAAATTAAATTGAATGACGTGGAATAAGTGATACATGTATCTTATGTTCCATAATAAACATATTTTTTTTTTTTTAAATCGTTAATCATAAAGAGTCCATAGGTGGCGTTTAATAACGCGCCGATGAGACGAACGGGCAAAAAGCTGGTTCCATTTTCAGCTACGTTTACGTGAATATAAATAATCTACGGAATAATTATACTATCAAATATTACCGACCGTTAATGATCTAATGTAAATACAGAAACTAATGGATAAATTTCTCACTAACAACTTGTAATGGTGATATCTGACACGAATCCAATTAGCGTCAACAACAGCAGTGTCGTTATGACAGGCGCAAATAAATTACGCGGTTGGAGAGGAGAAAAGTTGTTTGTTCTTTAGATTAAAAAAACGCTTAAAATCCAAAACATGATCAATAATTCTTAAGCGAGCAACATTCATATAAATAAATTTAATCGGCAGAACCCGAAGTTTTGTGCTTTACAATCATAGAAGTCGTGATTAACGTTGTTACTCTTAGCACTCTTTTAACTATGCAGGTGTCATGTTTAGCGCTACGTCACGACTCTAAATATTACCAATAATTATTACTTTACTAAGTTGGAAGATGAGACATGTTTCCCTTTTCTTAGGTTACTGAACCTATGAAAAGGGAAATGATGAAACTCGGTGTTTAATAGTCCAAAAATAATCATTATTAATAAGTAATATAAACCTCTAATAAAACCAAAATAATTAATTAATATTAATAATAAATTTTTAATTAATTTATTTATTATTCATTATAATTCAACCTACTGAATGCTCAAATGCAAGCACCGGTGTATCAACTGAGTTTAGATGAAAGTTCTCAACTATTTTTAAATTCAAGCTTTTACGTAAGCTGGATTTGTTATTTGATGATTTATACGAGTTTAGGATAATGTTGAATTATTACAAGCGCACAGGACAGTCTATTTACCATAATGTCATTTCGCGTGACCCACTCTGCCAACGGTTACATGCATAATTCATGTCAAGAGATATATGCAGACTGTATCACGCAAATATTAACCTAATCCAGGCATTAATTAAGCTTAGTGTAGCTTTTGCTAGCTTAGTGAAGGATTTTTACTAAAGCTATCTTAATATATATAAATTACACGTCACGTTGGTTTTTTGCTATCGACTCCTAAACTACTTAACCAATTTCAATCAAATTTACACACCGTGTGCAGTTTGATCTAACCTAAAATACAGGATAGCCTACACATATATATAATTCTACTGTACGTGTGTATATCACTGAACTCCTCTTAAACAGCTGGACCGATGTTAATGATATTTTTTGTATGCGTTTGGGTGGAGCCCTGGATGGTTTAGATTCACAAATCAACCCGGCAGATGGAACTGTAGTGGGTACTATCATACTTTGTTTAATATCCTAATCGATTGAAATATCATGCAGGACAACGTCTGTGGAGACCGCTAGTAAAATAATAAATCACACAGAGTGTCAAACGAAATAATTACAACTGAATTGTAGGCCCAATTATAATTATCAAACATGAAAATATTTTCAATACGATTAGTCAGTCATATACGCTGTTCGGAAATGATTGTGCTTGTGATATCCGTGTTCTGGTCTACCATGGCCTCCATAGTGTTCTTGGTGACGTGGTACCTCATCCCCCAATGGCGTAATCTGCACAACTACATCAGTGGACATCAAATCGTGACAGGAACATTGCATTTATACTCTATCTTAATAAACAGACTGTTTTTTGATGGGCACAACTCCATATCCATTGCCCTTAACCAATATTTGTTCATGATAACTCTAACTTGGTCTCTGTGTGCATCGCTGTTCGCCTATTTGAAGCTAGTTCTAGTATTTATACAAACTATACCATTTGAAAAGGCAAAAGCGACTATTTTCGCTTATGGCGCCATGATTACCATCAAAATATTGACAAATGTCATCATACCGACGGTGATACCTTTAGATACCGTTCTGCTTAGGATGCTACCGGTGATGATAAGTATCTATATGATTTTAAGTGTGAATTTTATGTTGTTCGCCTGTATTGCTAGACATGTCGTCAAGTCCTGCAACCTCGCAAGCAGGGCTCGAGGGAAGAGGATAGCATCTTTAGTGTGCGTGGCTATCTTATGCGATTTCATCACTTTGATCTACTTGTCTTCCATTGTGATAAACATTAATCTACTATATGTCCTAAAATCAATATTCTATTTACGATTAATACCACAAGCGATCGTAGTACTGTTCAACCAGAATTCTAGACGACTTTGGAAATTATACTTTCAAATGAGAAGGTATAGGAATATAGATCTTGGGATAGAATTGGTATCGCAACGAACATAACATTGATTTAAATATATTTCAAATAAAATCGTATTTAATTTAGAAATGTGTTTCATTAATTTAATTAATTAACACACTAATTATTTTTATCACACGAGAATGTTTAATTAATTTATACTTTTCGCTTAGTCAGTGGTACACAGCGTCCAAAATGATTGTGCTTATGAGTAATAGTTGCCGTTTTGATGTATCTTACCAAAATGGCGGAATTTGGACAACTACATCAGTGCTCATCAGATAATTACCGGATCCTTGCATTTGATTACTTTATTGATGGAGGAGTGAAAATATAATTTCCATTAATATTAATAAGTATTTGCTAATGGCGACTATGTTGTTGTGTTGGTCTTCATCTCTGTTCGCATATTTAAAATCAGTTCTCGTGCATATACAGAATATGGCACCACGATGTTCATAGCAATAATGACCAATATACTTATACCATCTATGTTACCGTTCGAACCATTCGTCTGAGCACAAATATAATCACAAAATGTTATTTGTGAGTATTGCCAGGACGATTGTTGTATTATTTAATCGAAATACAAGACAACTATGGAAAAAATTACGTATAACAAGAAATAAACCCGTTAATCGGGGGCTGGAATTAGGGCTAACCCGCATGTATCTAGACAAAACAAAAATTATTTGTAAAGACAATTATATGAGATAATCTCTATATAAGACATGCTTTGAAAATGGTTTCAATACTAATTATTCATTTAATTTTGCAATATACTACTAGTCTAAATGGGTGTCTAATTTCTAGTTAACCATGATATTAGGGCAAAGCGTTGATAGCTTTTAGTTTAGCTTATTATAGATTAGCTATATATATTGTGCAGTGTTATATATCATAGTTGTAAGACGACACACTGAATATAGAAATAAATATCTTTTTTGTTTGAATTACAGCCCTAAATACTTCATTGTTTTGAATTGAGTACACATTGTGTAAATGTGGAGCTTACACGCGAGTTGTATGGATATAAATATTTAATTTACGTTTCGGGCTAAGTTTTTAACGGGCTTATAAGGAACACTGTGGGGATACAGATATTGTATGTATGCTTGTTTGTTTATCAGCTGTACTCGAAATCTACTAGCCCTATTTGAATGGTGTATTCGTTATTTAGAGAAAGGCTTAACATCTCTGAGGGTAAGGGCAAATTTAATCTTGGACATAAGCTACTGAATTGGTATTAATGAAAAGTTACTTTCTTTATAATATAATTTCACCTCACCATTACTTGTCAGTCTAAAGAGCACGAGCCTTACACGACTTATAAGTCGTGCTCTTGAAGTACTCTGAAGCACTCCAAAAGTGGTTATTTAAAAAAAAGTGTTTATTGCCGTTAAGTTTTGTTTACGGAGTCAAATCATGAATAAAATTACCTGTTCTGATTATAAATGTTCTGCCCAGGTGGTACTTTACAGGTGATTATAATCGTGGCTTTAAAAAGTGTACGAGAGGCGTCGCCCCGTCTGGTTTTCGTGTTTGAAAATAGTTATTGCAGAAGATTTAATTTATAAAATAGTCTATTAACATATCTTTGACAAATCTATACAATATATATTTTGGTTTAACGTACTTATATGTAGTCATAGGAAAATTTTGCACCCTTCAAATGTGTTGTACAGTACAGATGTTGCATGTACAGAAATACAATACCATTGACATAATTAAATAAAAAAGAAGGCAACTGGCCTTATCGCTTTCGAGCGATCTCTTCCAGGCAAACACTGTGAGAAAAAAAATTAGATAAGGTAAGCGCAAGAAGTGCAAAAATACATAGGTATAGTTATTTAGACAAAACTAAGGGAACAAAACAAAGCATTTAAAACATATGTAAACAGTGATTAGGACAATATCAAAATAAAAAATATTGTACCATAACATTAATATATAATAGCAAATAAATGATTTAAATGGGCTCAGGTTAAACCGAAGATCCCCATCAAAGGCACCCCACAATACCCATTCGTCCGTCAGTTCTTCATCAGCCTTTTAGAAACCAAGGCTCATGGCCATTCAAAAAAATCTTCTAACCATAATTATTATTTGAAAGTTTATATTTGTGTAACGATACTATTGTGTCATGTTCTTAAAATATGTAAAGCACTTGAGGTCAAAGTTATAACCCCTCATCAAGTGGGTAAATATTAAATAATTCATGTGTACCTTTGTTTTACGGTCATAAAATGCAAATAAAAGCGACCTATCATAATGTTAATACCGCTCGGCATTCAGGGACATTTTCAACGTAATTAGCTTCTTAAATAATGAATTAGTCTTTTACTTTGAGTTTTCTAGTAAAACACTTATGTTTAATAAGAATAATAGGTAGTTGGTGACGCTATGAACCCTTAATAGCTATCCTTCAGTGAATTATTGCATAATATAATGATGATGAGAATTTATTCATGGATAAATACAACCGTTTTTCCATATAGCCGACACCACAAAGTATTTCTGTCGGACCATGACATATTAAGCACACCAAGAATAATCTGTATTTTCATTTTAAAAAATTGCCTTATGAGACACGTAAACTTACCTGGTAAAGAATGTTTCTTGGTTTCAGCAGCGGGTCGTGGGGATAATGGCTCCGTGCCACGGGACACCACGCGACGGAGCTCCCGGTTGAGCGAGGGGTCAGATGATGTCCAGGGTTTGAGCTCCTTCACGCCATCATTATAGACTTCTTTCATGAACTCTTCAATTAGCTCCTTGCCTAAGGATCGTCAATTATACTTCACACACTTCGTTTTAACGAAATACAATATCAATCGGTCTGATGTCCTGAAACTGTCCTTTTAATTGTAAAGGCTCTCATAATTACTAGGGGCTGTAGCAAACCGGTATAATAAGAAACTACTGTAGTATCCATTTTGATTCCCGATTAGCATATTTACAGTATAAATTTCATTCTCGTGGGTGGAATTCGCTTGATAGGGCTTTGGCCTATACGTATAAATATTACTTCTAACTATATGAAATATAAGTGAAATATAATAATTCTTTGGTTTGTTTCTCATTTCTCAACCATTCAAACACAATGTGCCACAGCGAAGCGTGACAGCGAAGAGCTAGTATATAATAAAATAAAAATAAATCAGTGACGCTACAACCTTTTTTTAGGCTTCAGATTTGTGTATCTGTTTCATAATCATTTGTCAATCTAATAGTATTAGGCAAGTAGGTGATCAGCCGCCTGGGCCTGACAGTTTCAGGTTGTTGTTGACGGTTTCCTCAAGATATTTCCTTCACCTTTCGAACGAATGTTAAATGCGCACATAGAAAGACTCCATTGGTGCACAGCTGGGGATCGAACCTACGGGCTCAGGGATGAGAGTCGCACACTGACGCCACTAGGCCAACACTGCTCTTACTGACTTCTATGTATACCTTTTGCAATGTTGGAGGCGTACTGTTTCATTGCTATCTTCTCCACAGTGCTCTCCAGACCGAAGAAATTCTTCACATCGAGGAGTGCGCTCTGCTCGAAACAGGTCCAATTCGTGTTCTCGGGATGAACCTATATATATATATAACAATATAATTATGTTTTAGTATCATTTTCAACAAAATAGAATGGTATGTTCTTCTTTTTAATTAATAAGTTAAAATGAATTATACTAGTAACTTAAGCGAAGGTAGACTGTGTTCTTATTGTCATTGAATTTTCTTCGTGTACGGTTTAGTCAAGGGCATTGCAACCTCGTGTGACAGTGTACACTTTGATAAAGGTCATTTATTATCCATATTCTACTGTTTGCATCAAAACAATTAACTTTTACTTCCCGACTGTAATATTATTTAAAAATTATTCTTGTTTATCTAATAAGACCTCTTATTCTTACCTACTGTTACTTTTCTTGCTAATGTAATACACAATTAATATATAAGCTGGCCTAATGTACTGTGAACGTGTTTTAGGTCTGAGCCTCAGATTTCTGTATCTGTTTCATGAACATTTGTAAATCAAACAGAAAAGTGGGTGATCATCCTCCTGTGCCTGACACACTTCGTCGTTTTTTTGGGTCTAAGTTTTCCTTCACCATTCGAGCGAATGTTATACGCGCCCATAGACAGAAAGTTCATTGGTATACAGCCGGGGATCAAACTTACGACCTCAGGGATGAGAATCGCACGCTGAATCCACCAAGCAAAAATAAAGTGTGTAAATGATAGATTGAGACTCAAGTTACCGAAAGAACTAATTGAACATTGGATCAATGAATGACACTATCTTAATGAATCCATCAAAATGCCTGTAAACATGTAATAACGACCAGCGTAATCGTTTCTTCTCAATTGTTCTTGACATACATTTATGACGGAAGTACATTGCATTATCAATTGCTCAAATATATCACGCTATATAAATTAATAATTATTTGATTTTATAATATTAATTAACATACACAACACTAAGCGGTTTCGGTTGAGATTATTTCCTTATTAAAATCAACTTGGAATTTTACTAACAATAGCCTATCTTAGGATTACATAAAGGATCACACATTTTATTGTTACATAAAAAAAAAAAAAGTGGTGCTACAACCTTTTTAGGTCTGGGCCTCTGATTTATGTATCTGTTTCATAATCATTTCACATTTGTCAATCTAATAGGCGAGTAGGTGATCAGCCTACTGCGCCTGACACACGCCGTCTACTTTTTTGTGTCTAAGGCAAGCCGGTTTTTCACGATGTTTTTATTTACCATTCGAGCGAATATTCAATGCGCGCATTGAACGAAAGTCTATTGGTGCACAGCCGGGGATCGAACCTACGACCTCAGGGATGAGAGTCGCAAGCTGAAGCCACTAAGCCAACACTGCTATATCCTATACCTTCATAAGTTACTTTTACATAAGACAAAAATTAATCAAAAATAGGATATTGATTTAAACATATTATTTATGTACGAATATAATTAGGAAAAAAAGCTTACATAATAACGACATTTCTCGACAACAGACACCCTCGATGCGAAAGTCTCATTTGTGGCTTCGATATCCAGAACACGACCCTTGAGGTCCAGATGATTCTTCTGGATGAAGTATACGTAGTCCACACCTATCATCTGGAAAAAGCCGGAACGTCAAACTTTCGAGACATAAAAGAATATAATCTACGCTAATACTATGTAGAGGTAACAAGTTCTCTGTGTAAGTAGATTGAGCCGATTAAAAAAAAAATTCATCAGTAGGAAGTTATATTATCCTTGAGTAACAATAATGACGTATTTAATTATAATTATTGTGCTCGCTCAACGACAAGAATTAATAAGAATAATTTTATCGTGTTATTACATCTATCCAGTCACTTCCTCACCTTTTTCAGAAGATAAGGTGCTTCAACGTTAAGCTGACAGCGTCTGGTAGTGTGACGCTGCGCATCATCAGCCGTCCAGCTATCATCTGTGATGACGCACTCCAAGACCACTGGTATCTGAGGGCAGTTCGGAAACCGTCTTTCGTATGCCTGTAAACAAACGTTATTTGTAATTTAAGACGTGAATTAAAAACTAATTTCTACTTACAATTTTCTAAACCTACAAATTATTAAAAAGAAAATCAAAACAAATTTAAAAAGTTAGATCTCTGTAGCAGTGTAACTTTAACGCTGGCAGCATTTCCTCGCTGTATTGCGATACTTATTCGTTGAGCGAGGAAAGCACCAGCTCTGGGGTCACCGGTACTATCTACCAGGCGCCAACTTAAAACTTTAATAAGAGCCTGTGCACTTGAACCCCACGGCCCAAGAGTTTCTACTCCAAAGGGAACAAAATCGAAGTTGAAGGAAATACTCTTATATTTGTGCCGTTTATTATTTTCTGCCTGCTCTGCGGCCGCTCCAGCTTTTTTGCTTAATTTAGTTTAATTTCTACTTTATAATGAAATCTTAAAAACAAATTGTCTACTTCCAAGTCATATCGTAAAATGTACTACATAATTAAGAATTTATAAAATTAAACCCTTTTTCTCTTATATCTGCGTTCAAGTATGGTAATTCCATTTAAAATATTCAAATTCTGGGATTAACCATCAATTTCACTACACAAGTATTTGCGTCGTCAATAAAGTAGAAAACATCGATCGGCTATATCCGCTTTAATTGCCACGATATGCCCTTGCCATATGCAGCAAATGATCTTCATTAAAAATCGAAACTTTATTGTACCTCAAACATAATTTTTCGCCTCAAATACAACTCAAAGAGATCCATGCAACCATTTCTGTTAAATTAAACATTAATAACAAAACGTATATTGGTAAAGATGATTATCCTCTATTCCCTGACGAACATATGTTCATAGATAATCAAGGGGAATTACATATTGGGAATTTGAACACGCAACTTTACATAATATCCTTTAATTCTAATAAAATGTTTCCTTAAATAGCATTCACCACTAAATGTCTACCATGTATAGCATTCAGCCGATAGTTTTCCGGTGACGCGTCTCAACTAAAAGACGGCATTGAATGGCTGATTCGTTCTTTTGTCGTCCACCCCCTTCATTCCCAGCACTATTCAATAGATCACGCGTCTACTACTTTATTTGAATGATTTATGTTTCACAAAGGACGCGCTTGAGATCTAATATTAGATTTAACAGTAATTTTTTGTATTTATTTAGGTAGAGAATAAACTGAGCAGTGTTGGCCTAGTGGCTTCAGCGTGCGACTCTCATACCTGAGGTCGTAGGTTCGATCCCCGGCTGTATAAATGCAAGATAATTTCCATTGATTACTAAATCTTAATTATTCCACAACGCCAAATTTGCCTTCACCATCCATTCCAATTGAGGAATAGTAAAATGTCCTCGTGAAAATTAATTAAATAAGTTATACCTTGAAACATCTCAGACGTCCTTTTGAGAGAAACCAGTAGATTTCTCTTTCACGACGAAATATTAAATTGTAATGCTTTCAGAAATAAATTGAGGAAATTACGTAGTTAGGGCCCGCGGTAAGTTAAATCACTTTATCTCAATCGTAATTATATAAAGAGCCTATTTACCTTCGTGCAATCAAAATTAAGATCACAATACTTTACAGTATACAATATTTGTTTCTTATTTACATTAATCTATTTACATTATATATTCATACATCAGTTTTATATTATAAAAACATGCAACTGTGACCTAAAACCTTTGTAAAGCTTAAAAAAGTAGTTCCATGCAGTAGTTTTTTTAAGTTTATTTTGTCCAGAGATTACCCCCTTATCCTCACAAACATTATCTAATATATAAAATTCTCGTGTCACAGTTTTCGTTGCCATATTCCTCCAAAACGGCTCGACCGATTCTCATGAAATTTTGTGTGCATATTGGGTATGTCTGAGAATCGGACAACATCTATTTTTCATCCCCCTAAATGTTAAGGGTAGTCCCCTAAATATTTTTTTTATATTTTTAGATATTTATTTCTGTTTTTATTTTTTTATGATACAGCATTAAAAAATACATACAAGACCCCTAACTTTCACCCCTCTACGATCAACCCCTATTTTTTTTATTATAAATGATATATATGGCAAAACGACGTTTGCCCGGTCAGCTAGTCAAAGAGACTATCTTTATAATATTAGGAAAGATAACGTAAAACTTATATTAAATTACAAAACAATCAGCATTCCAATGTAAAAGTGATACAAACGAACACATTTAATACGTGAAAGACATGTACATACATATGTGAAGTGTCCTAAATAAATAATACGCCGTGGGAGCAAACAGTAACAAATTGAATCAGTGTGATGTCGCGCGGCATCGAGGTGTTGATCGTGCGGAATAATTCAATATTCAATAGCTGATATTGAACTAACACTCATCTACACGTCTGTAACTATCGAAGGCTGGATATAGGTTATGTAAGAGCCTTTTATTTGCCATTGTTCGCAAGAATGTACCTTTAACGATTCTAAATCTTATAAAAACCTTGACACCAATTCATGTTCAAATATTGAACAAATGAAAAGAAAAATTCAAGAATAACGGAAGATTTTATCCTAATTTTATGCGTTATTAATTTCAATTCCTTATATATATATAATTCTACTGTATGTCACTGAACTCCTCTTAAACAGCTGGACTGATTTGAATTAATTTTTTCGTACGCGTTTGGGTGGCGGCGCCCTGAATGGTTTAAATTCACAAATCAGCCCGGCAGATGGCGCTGCAGACGGTATCTAGGTTATATATCTATCTATACGGCCGATTTTGATTATTTTTTTTATGTATGGTCTATATATATATAGGACGTATATACAGGACGTCTGTCGGATCCGCTTATACAGATATATACTATAAAAAACTTTTGTATTTCACCTATAACGAATATTCTTTTGCTATATTTTAATTTTAACTAAATGAAATTTCTACGAAACCGGCATTTTTGACCTCAAAATCAACGTCTGGCAGACACCAAAGGAATTTGCCTATAAATGTAAAATGATGAAAACAGATACAATATGACCCATAAAATTGATTAATTTGGTCTTGAAATCTATTCACAACTTTTAATAGTTGAGAAAATAACGTTTGATGAAACATATTAAAGGAATTTCGCAAGACCCTGTCGGCGGCCTCCACTGTCGGAAATGAAACTGATGTTACGACACACGACGAGGAATCAATAAACTTTATATTATATATACGATAACGTTTAGCTTGTAAGAATATTTGGACGAAGAAACTAATATATTTATAATAGTAGATATTTTGTAGAGAATCAAGACTATAAATATTTTAGACTGTTTCCAGAATCATAACTTTTCTATCGCACGTCAGTATCTTTATAATTGGATTTAGATATATGATAATTTTTAAAGATGATTTGTGTTTATCAAAGCTCCGTGTGAAATATTTATCTGTTATGTTGTCGCGATATATAAATAATATATTAAATTGGAGAATAAAAGTGTCATAACTGTAATTGAATTTATGCTTCGTATTACTCCCAAATTATTATAACGTATAAATACCTCTCACATCAAGAAACACTACATAAAACATTTGCGAGAGACCTGTTAATATAATATTATTTATATCATAAACATGTTAAACAAGCGAACAAGAATAACCAGATTCCGTGTGTATGCAGAGAGCTCCGAGTACTCGACCTTGGCAATGCTGTACTCCAAATTAAACCGACTAGATAAACAAATAGTATGGAATAGACAAATTCCCGTATATTCTATTCCTGCTATCTTCTACGGTAAGATAAATAAATTAAAATATGTGCAACCAGTAACTTCACTGTATTATCTACGTAAAAAATCTAATAAATCAATAATGTGCCATACCTTAACTTTTTTTAGGAATTAAAATGAATCTCCTAAATAACTCGTACTTACGTAGTTATAAACAATGGAATATTCATCAATTAATTTAAAAAAAAAACATTATTATATTAAACATAATAAGACGTTGATTTATTTAAGACAAATTTTATTCCATCGTTTCGCGAACGTGCTCATGGAGAGGAATTACTTATCAAAAGGTTTTCTTTGCTTCTCATAAAATCACAGTACACTCAATTATGAGGACTTCAGCACAGTGCTAATATTCATTGGCATTGAAACGCCCTCAATACGTCTGAACCGAAATTATCAGCAGGAAAACGTGTTGGTACAGATTGTTCATTATTGCTGCAAGGAAAATATAGCAAAGTAATTACGACAGTCGGTTAGGCAAGCGTTTGTTTATTCCGACATGTCATACTTAGTGCTAAGTATCGACTCTGCAACTTAGTAATAATAGATACATTATATATTGTACATAAGAAAAAACAAACTGCTTAAAAACTGCATTATACAGATAAAAAATACAATCTTTGCAAAACACTCGTCCGGCCTTATCGCATAATCTCTGCCAGGGTAGGAATTTAATTAAACCAGTTTTATTAGTAATAGTTAAGGTGAAACAATAACAATAAAAAATAGTAAAACATGGTTTGCATTCGGAGCAATGAAAAAGGTATAAAAGGCATTATCTTCAGTATGGTCGGAAACACCACGTTTCTCATACTGCAAGTACAGCACAGCCTTAAACATTTTAACTACCGACCAGTCACAATAGCGTATTTAGATCACTCTCTGCTAGTGAAAGTTGTCTGTGATTCAGAATGATCGTCGTCTGATTTCGCTACGTGATTTTTATATTAAAAACAAATACGCCCTCTTTTCTCTCCTTTAACACGTAAACATCGAATCATCATTATAAATATGCAGTAGTCTGTGACCAATCAAAGACGAATGAATTTGCCCTGCCTGTATATTTAGAAAAAAAATTGAGATTTATAAAAATAAAACTGTTTTTTTTTTCATTTTCTTTAGGCGCATGAGGGTACAATTTTGACGGAACGTCACGAAGATGTGCAGCGTTTTTGTCGAAGAAAAGGGAGAGCGCGATTGAGACCGATTGAGAGATAGTGAGAAGGTTGAATTACCTTCTAGAAATACTATTTTTAAAATTAAAATTTCGTAAAGCGAATTTATGAAATATTAGTATTTTATATTTTATGCAATATAATTTATTGAAATCTCAAATGACGAATTTTAACTTAAAATACCATGTGTTTTTATTATCGAAGAAATAAATAAAAAATAAAAAAATTATAATTTATATTAATTTTCGACACTTTTAATATTTTAATGACAATTTAATTCATTCAATTCTAAGATATTATCTTACTTTTTCCCTCCCTCTAAGTCTCGGAAATCTAAAGTTTTAGATTTTATTTTATTTATTTGTATAAATATTCAAAAAATTCAAAATTCTTTACTCAATAACAAGTTACATTTTTAGCAGATATTGGAGCCCCTGAACTAAATCTAGGGAGACCTGTACATCAGTTTGCCAAAGGAGTTTCACTTCTAAATATAGAATACGGTTTCCACTAATTTTGGATTTATTATCAACCTCAATGGCAAAAATTCAATTGGATTAACAAACATAATCAAGACTTATGTTCGTGAGGTTTCCTAATTTTTCAGGGGCTTCTATACAGTAAGGTCAATGACCTTCAAAGTGGATTAGGCTGGTTACGTCACTAATTCCCACGCGTCTATAAATAACGTGAGCCTGGAACCACTGTATACAGGAGCAGATTCTGACGTCAAACTAATTTTAATAGGTATTTAAAATACACTTTTGTATTTGGAATTTTTGTCTTAGTAAAAATTATATTTTCTGAAAGTTTGGAAGTTTATTGATG